CTTTATCGAACTAATTGGATCGCATCTTTTCGGGGAGTCGAGGATTTGGGTCACGAGGAGAAGGAGGAAGACGAATCTTTTATCTGCGGAAATTTTCGCATCTGATTTATATCGGGGAAAAAATCAAAAACGTCTCTTGCCGGAAAAAAGAGACGATCTGTTTCCAAAAAGGAGAGATTTTGACGGATTCGGTGGAGGAAACCATGGATGTTCCTAGCTCTTGGGATGCTCTACGGAAACAGGTACATTTTCTATTGGGCAATTATTTAGGACAGAAATGGCGAGAAGCTAGTAGCGTCTGGGATCTTTGAACTCTGTTTTGGAATTGGGTTTTTGATGCCTGAATCGATATAATTCTTCTGGGTTCGAGTCGAATTGGGGAGTTTATTGGTGATTTCTTGTTGTCTCAGTCTCAAAGATCAAGTTGTCTTTCTATTTGTTCCCACTGTAATGTTGAGATGCAATCAAATGAAGATACTTTGTGTTGTGAATCCCAACAGGCTAGAAAGATTGAAGCTCAGCTTGACGAGCAGATGCATTCATATCGTAGACTTGTTTCCACAAAGGCTTTAAAGTCAGATGGTACAGAGAGTGATCTTGAAGCTGGGATTGACTTACTTCTTAGGCAACTGCAACAAGTCAATGCGCAGATGAAAGCATGGGTATCTTCTGGTGGATCAGAAATGGTCTCACATACTTTAACTCGGCATCAAGAGATCCTTCAAGATCTCACTCAGGTACTACTATCCATTTCCTGACTCATACCATTTTATAATTGCCTTACTTCTTTAGCTCGGTTTGTTTAGCAATGGAATGAATGAATGTTCTCAGTTTACACTCTTCTTTTGGACCACTTTATGACTCAACCTTTGTTGTAAATCTCATTCAAAATGCAGGAGTTTTATCGGCACCGCTCCAGTCTTAGAGCTAAACAAGAGCATGCTTCACTTCTTGAGGACTTTAGAGAATTTGATCGGACTAGATTAGACTTAGAAGAGGGGGATGAACATGCCTTGCTCAAGGAACATGTGGGAATCAACCGCAATACAGCACAGGTAAATAAACTCCTTCGCCAGTAATCTTTGTTAGACTCTACAGCTGTATCATACATTAATCCGTGCTTTCTCAAGTTAGTTGAATCCCCCATGACTGATGTGAAACGCCTATTAAATAAACGGTGCAGATGGATGGTGTCATTTCACAAGCTCAAGCGACACTTGGTACACTTGTGTTTCAACGTTCAACTTTTGGAGGCATCAACTCAAAGCTTAGCAATGTCACCAGCCGTCTACCCACGGTACAAAGAACTTCCGTTTCTATTGTTTACAAAAATTTTTTTGCTTTTTGCTTTCTTTTTGTTCGGGTGTTGCTGGTATTATCCGTATACCTCACTCTGAAATTCTATGGTTAAACCCACTGCAGGTGAACACTATCCTGTCAGCGATAAAGAGGAAAAAGTCGATGGATACGATTATTCTTTCGCTCGTTGCGGCTGTATGCACATTTCTCATATTCATCTACTGGTTAACCAAGTAAAATTTGCCCAGTTCTTTCGATTCATCTCTCTTTTGGGCCACGTCTGGTTTTCCCATGATGTTAATTTGTTATCAATGTCTTAGTAAAGAATCTAAAGATCAAAAACATAAATATTTTGTGTACAGCAAATTTCATCTCTATCTTTGCAGTTTAGACGAGCTTATACAACCATTTTACTGGATTTTTTTAGCTGTGTAGTATGTTGCGAGTTGCGACATTGAGAAATGAGAAGGTTACAACTGTTTGAAAAATAAATCTGGCTTTATTAAGATCCTAATCATAAATTTCCCACTTAACATACAAATCTGGAAGCTAATACTCACATTACTGGATGCTTAAAAGAATGTGATAGGGAGAAGATTTTATTTTTGCTCAACATAAGATTTAACAGTCTCCATCCATCTAATATACTCAGCTTTATATTTGTTCTTCATGTACTGATGCAAGAACACAGCAAGATCATCACTTATACCCCTTTCCTCCAAAAATCGATAAAGTGAGTCTTGAAGTTCATCTTCCATTTCCCTGTAAAACAATGAAAGACCAAGTCTACTTTCATCACATTGAAAGCAAAAATAAGAAATCTGCATGTATGAAAGAGAGATCAAATCACTGTACTCGAATTCTGGTCCAATATAAGCATTTGGTGAGCTCTTGCTGCTTTTACGAATAAAGAACTTGGAGATCTGTATGGTATCAGGCCAAGCAGAACACATGATCTCTAAGGTCTCACCATCACCTTCCTTAGAGATATTGACAATGAAGGTAATGTGAAGCTGAACATCTTCAGGGTCAGTGACTGTAGATTTTGATGAAGGAACTGATCCATCAAACATGGTTGCTTCAATCTTAATATCTTCCTTCTCCCCAAATTTTCTTCTCAAGCTAATCCACTGCTCCCCTGGCCGCTCATCCACCGTGAATGGACCAAACCTGTCCTCAGGCTGCAATTTTGTATACGAACAAAGATCACCAGACAGTGTAGACACAAAAAGATTGAGACAGGAACCAGTTTCCATTTTGGATCATGCAAGAATCTTGATTCAATCAGAGAAGCCAGAGCGTATCTCTACCCTCATCATCTTAAAACATGGTTCAAACTCGAGGAATGAATTCTGCTCATTTCATTTCACTAAACTTGGATTCAATTTCTGAAAAGTCTCAACCTTTCTATTAACAAATTACAAAGAGAAGACGAAGCAATTACACTAGAATACCTGAAGAGGAGGCGAGTGATCGAGCTCGGACTGAATCTCAGAACGAATTAATCGGAGAATGTTACCCTCGAACGCCGATTTCCTCATTTCCGACACATAACTCCCCGAACTTAGAAGTTTGCGGCTGATTAAGAAACTAGGGCTTTGAATCGATTGAACACATATTCTAGGATTTCGGTACGAAATCGAAGGCGACAAGTTAGATATCACTGTTCTTCTCAGATACCTAACCAGACGAGACATTGACAGAGACGAAGAACACAGGAGCAGAAGCAAAGATCCAACTTTTTCTAGGGTTTTAAGATTATGATCGGTTAAGGTGTTGTGTAACCTCATAATCTACACCGTCCATTTCTAAACAAATCTGATGGTTATAAATCAGGTAATTTAATCACTGTACAGTGTTCAAGCAATTCAAAATAGTTTTGGACCAATTTTGTCATTGGTTACTGATGCGTAACTTTGTTGTATAGTAATTCAAACAAAATGTGTCCCCTCTATTGAAGTTAATCACATGTAACAAGAATCATATAATGTGTTTTTTTTTTAATAATGTTTGGTAGATGAAAACTGAAATGAAAATGCTCTGAATCTGTTTGTTGAGCCTCCCAATGATCCTGCAAACCAGACCGAAACTGAAAAGATTTTACTCACTCAAGTAAAGAACTGACGCTTTCAAGCTGAGAATTGAGGAGACTCGTCAAGATGTTAAGCGTTCAGGCTTGTTTTTCGCGAATCCACTCAACAAAATTGTCTAGAACCAATGGCCATGCAAGCTCTGGATTGTAGTCCGCCATGTCCGGGAAACTTATCTGTAAAATGTTAAAAACAATTCGAGTTGGTTGATGAAGCTGCCACAAGCCACAAACTAAAAGATTTAGGGAACATACCTCATTGCAGAACCGATAAAATCCCATCCATTGGTCCATGTTTATGACTTTGTAGTCGTTTTGGATCTGTGTGAAACAAAAACCAATCATGGGATGATAAGACTACTTGTACAGGCTTTGAAAATGACAAAAGATGAGACTGTTAGTGTTCCAAACCTTTAAGTACTCGACAAAGTAGTCAACTTGGGCTCGGAATGTAGATCCCATGACTATATCTAAGAGTTGACAGATAGTCTCTATGTCTATGCTCTTCTGTTTTTCCTCTGCAATGAACAGTAAACAAAGGTCATGCACATAGAACGAATAAATATAAGCTGTGAAACACAAAGTTCTCATGCAGAAGCTGAATTTAATCTTACCTGTTAGACAATAGCGGAAGGCATAAGCATAGAAATCTGCAAAATTTGATTGCCTCCTGACCTTAAAGAGACAAAAATAAGGAAGAAGAGTTTAACGAACGATTCAGTTTTAAGGATGATACTCGGAAGATGTCTATCAATATGAGAATAAAACAAAAGGATAATAAAATTTTGAACCTCTTTCTCGAGTTCCGGAAGAGCTTTCTTCAATTTATTGATTGTATCAGCTCTTAAAGCCTTGAGGCCTCTTTTCCACTCCTCCTACAGATGTACAATGAGTTTCGATAACAGGACAAAATAAATCAACAAACTTGACCCAAGAATAAAAGGACAAAATGGTCTCTAGCTCTAATGTATACTACACATCCCTTACCTGTGTAAAGTAACCTTGTTTCTCAGCTTTCATTTTCCTACGATGCGAGGTTCAAAATTTTTTACGGATAAGTAATTGTGTTTAAAGAACAAAATGAAACATTACTAAAACTTTAATGGATAATTACCAAGCAAGCATCAAGATTCTGATATCAGTATGAGACACTTCCAAATTGGAGCATAGTTCCTCTATTCCTTCAGGACTGTTCAAGTAATATATACCACAAACAAAGTATTAGAAGCTGCATTCTCAAGATCACAAACCGAAAACAAATGGATCCAGAGATAAAACTCTCCATGTCATTCCATTAGAAAGCTCAATGAAAAAAAAATAAAAATAATAATAAGATTCGTGCATCAATGGATACTTACTCAATCAGATTGGAAGATTTATTGGCATACTGACTAAATAAGTGATCTATTCGATCCATCTCTTTAGTCGAAGACTTACTCGAAGCTGAACAAAAAACAAGAAATTTACACACACATATATATATATATAAGTCATAATAACAAAGCAGAAACGTTTATATGATCATCGATGAATATGCAGAAGAAGTTGATTCGAAAAAAAAAGATTCAACTACTAAATTCAGAGTGTTCGATTATTCAAAATCCATGATTATCCAATTCTTCGTTCATCACAGGGTTAGTCAGAATTCAATCCAATTTGGAATTAAAAGATACAAAATCCAAATCGAAGAGAAATCAACTTCCAGCATAATAATAATTTACATAAACCCTAGATGAAATTCGATCAAGAATCGGAACCTGAGCGAAAGAGATCCGTGGTTGAAGTAGTGACTGAATCAACGGTTTTTGATTGGGCTGGTTTCTTCTTCGATGACGATGAAGAACGACGCATCTGGACAGAATCACAAAGAATTAGAGGAATCGAATTTTTGGGGAAGAGAGAGAGAGAAATCAAAGTAATATTGTGTATATATAAGCAACAGAGAGAAAAAGAGTAAATTAACAAAACCCAGAAAAGGAAAGAGCACCACGAAAGAGAAAAGCAGGAAAAGCTTCTAGATGGGGAAAATCTGAGAGACGAAGCACCTGATTGGAAGATAGATACGATTTTCTCTTTATATACACCCCCTTTTTATATCTATCCATTTTTTATCGG